GTGCTAGTTGACCTTTTAGGTGCGATAGAATCAAATTCATCAAAAAATAAAGCACAGGGTTTGGCAGCTTGCGCTCGCTCAAAGAGATCTCTCACCTACGTTAAAGCACATTCGATTAATAATTATGATCACTAAATTCACAGTATTATATATAAGCAATAGCAACTTTACCGATTTCTCACTAGCGCCAATATATTTATTTAATAGTTCGGGACCTTTGACACTAATAAAATTGAGTCCACACTCTTTTGCAACAGCTGATGCCAATAGTGTCTTGCCACAACCAGGAAATCCATATAAAAGGAGCCTGTTCGCACATTAATGAATATATGAAAAGAAATATGTACACAATATCATATAATAAAAAAAGGGTTCAATTACCCAGACCGCAATCTAAGAGGACAATTGGCAAAAATAGACGCGTATTTTGTAGGCCATTCCAATGTCTCTAATAATACCTTTCGCGTTTCTTCAAGACCTCCTATATCAGTCCAGCTTACATCTGAAGTATGTAATTTCACACCACGAAGTGAAAAGGGAACGAACCCTTTCTGCGCTTTTCGGAAATCATCTTGAACTAATAAAAAATCAGCTTCATTGATATTGTTTTGTAAATTCCTAACTGCACCCTCATGTATTGTTCGTTCCACAAGTGTTTTAAGGTCTGCTGCCAAATAACCTTCACATTCACTTGCCACAGAAAGTAAATCAACATTCGATAAGCTTTTTTTGGCAAGTTCAGGACCACAAGACATTATCGCCTTAAGAATCTATTAATGTTCAGTTATTTTAATAAATTGTATGACATGATAAACTTTGGTAATTCTATCTTTCATTTACCTCATATCTTTCTGTTTTCGTTGGTGGATTTAATTGAGCGATTTCACTAAACAAGTGACTTGTAGTTAGGAACGAGTGAATAGAAGATTTTTGTTGTGCTGTCGCCAAAATTGTGATACGATGTCTTTTTAGCATCTTTGATGCAATATGGAAAAAACATTCGGCAAGTTGTCGAAACCTGAAAGAATCCACATGCTAAAAATAAAAAAAAAGTATTTAATATAAAGCGTTTTAACATAATATTTCAGTAATCACTACATACTTCAACTTCTGCCGGAATTAGCCTGTCGAGGTCGTCAAACAAAAGTATACTAGGCGCATGCCAAGCAGCATCGTCGAAAAAGGTTTGCAGTTTTTCTCTTACAGATGATATACGATCCTCTGATAATTCAGTACATTTAATGACACTGCAATCTGTTTAAAATGAGCCTATTGTCAAAAATAATTCCAAAATTTAGCCGAATGAAGTTAGTGATAACTTACATGCTAGAGTATTTAGATCTCGCTCTAAATAAGAAGCTACAGTTTTTGCAATACAAGTTTTTCCGGATCCATGGCCACCACATAATAATAAACCACCCATGCCTAAAAAAAAAATAAAAATAAAAAAATAAATAAAATAAAATAATTAAATTAAATTTATATTATAAAAAAAAAATCAAAAATTAATGTGTTGAAATTTCAGTACACCTGGAATATGCAAAACATTCCGCAAATTCGCTTTTCCGAGACAATATCGGAGATATTTTTGTAGCCTTTGAGATAGTTTTTCAACGCCAGCTAGTAGAGGAAGATAACCATTATTGTGTCTAAATGAATACGCCAATAAGAATTATTATAGCAAAAATCCTTCTATATGTAAGATTTCATTTTCTCCATTTACTTACTGTTTTAAAAGCTTATGATCAGCAAAAGATATATTGTCACCAACTTCTATTTTTATATTATTCAAATGATTTTTTGAAGTTATTGCATACATTTCTGAAGTATCGTTTTTGCTGTGACGACCATCATTTTGACCAACTGGCTTTCCACCAAAGAAAGCCACAACATTTATATCACTATTTGCTGATGATAAGGATAATTTCATCCCATTTGTCAAAACAATATCCGAAGATGCTGATAATTTCTCAATCCATGCTTAATTATTTAAAAGTGCAAATATTATTTATTATAGTTAAAAGGCGTAAACAAAAGTGTTGGTTATGTCATTTACCATTAACTGAATTAGTTATAGTGGAAATGATGGATCTATCTACAGGCGTTGAACTAATGAAATATGAATAAGACATTATAAAATATGTATTAACAAGTTATTATAGCACTCACAAACCTGGTGTTGGAATGAAGTTTTAAAGAAGCAGATTGAAAAGGATGTGATATACATCGAATTATTATGTGAGTTAATAAAGTAGAATTTGAATGTGGAGGCACTAAGCTATATAAAAATAAAACATTAGTCATGATACATCACATATAAATTCTTAAAACGTTACTAATAGTTGTATTTCACAATTCACCGAATTATGTCAAACTTTTGCACGTCCAGGACATCCATTATACTCTCACACAATACGACATGTCCAGGGACCACGCTGTCCTTAACCAGTACTTTAACATATAATGCTGGTAATGAATGGTTTCTGCCATCATTGTCTGATTTATCATCAGTTTCCTTGTTTTGGTGGGATGGTTGTATTTTAGATACACGCACAATTTTAGGATTTGGGAGTCCGATTCGCGTAAAATCAGTTGGATGAATATACACAGTACAGAAATCATTGGCACTTGGTTGTAGTAAATCAGGTGAAAGAAACGCCTGAGGTAAAACGCGCAAACAATATACACGAGCATTAAAAATGCTGTTTGATGCGATATCTTTAGTTTCCGCATTATTTTTTGTTTTTCTTGACTTGGGTGCCACAGCAATTTCCGTACTCTCGCTTAATTTAACACAAGGACCCTTTGAGTTAATATTGACTAAATAATGAAAGATTTTCATTAAAATGTCATTATTATTTTTTTTTTTTTCGTTATATAAAAATATGTTTATAGGAAACTAACCGATTTTTATCCGTGTAACATTAGAATTGATCCAAAGTACCATAACCTCATTAGGATATACAACGCGTTGTTGCTTAATAAAAGAGTCTTCTAAATATCTACTATTACGTTCCTTTTAAGATATGTTTGATTAAAAAGACGTTTGAGAAGCTGTTAACGACGGATACCTAACAAAAATAAAACGTTACTATAATTTCCCAATCATCAGAACTAATCGGTTCAACTTCTACAGAATTGGCCTCTGGCACTATATCTTCGAAACGTTTAAAGTAAATCTATACAATTATATTTAAAAATATTAGATCATAAAAACGATAAAGTTAAAGTATAAATTAGGATTCACCTTTTGACCATGGTGTAAACCAATAGCCTCGCCAAATTGTGGGTCTATTTCGATAGCATCGGAATGATCAGCCTTTGAAGAAAACCCAGACCATCCAACATATGCTTTGCCTTGTGCAATTTTAGCATCATGCCAAGATAATTCTAGAATAACATTTTGTGGTAACTGTCAAAATGTAAATCTAAAGACGTGTCCCCCCGAAATAAATAATAGAAATCAAGATATTTATATGAATTGAGTACCTGGTTTTGTTCAGAAAGAAATTGGGACCATTTAAATGGAAGATTCACAAAACAAGTTGATAAAGGGACGAAAGAGACAATAGCATGAAGCTGCTGAGCCATTTCAGACCAAAAAATCAAATTTAACGAGTGGTCGAGTTCTTAACTACTGAATCAAATTCGATTTCATTGGTTGATCAAAAATAATTTTGATTGGTTAAAGGGTAGAACGTATGATTCCAATCAAATTAAATACAATACATCACATATATATATATTTAAAAAGATACGAGTAAATAGGTAAATGTAATTTATTGCTAATAGACCTGAACTCGTAAAGAATCTACCCAAACACACTACAAGAGCCAACTAAATTTAAACAGACTTTGATATTTACTACTAAAAAGTTTTAATTAAATAGTTGTAATAAGAGCTTATTTAAATCTAACATAGTTAAGTAGTTTAAATACTGTAAAAACTTTTCCAATTAAACATTAACGTTCGTTTAAAGCTATGAATGACTTTCGGGAGATTTTTTTATTAATGAAATGTTACATTCTCAAAGGGTACTCTAAAGTATATGAATAAGATATCCTCCAAAAAAAAGGATTGGAGAAAAGTAATGTTATTACCTATAATTTAATAAAGCTGTGTACACAGACATATAAAATTATATACCAAAGAAATTGCCTACTGGTAACATTACCAGCGGGCAATAATTATATAGTAATACCATTATTAGTCGTGTGTATTAACCAAAGATACGATACCAATAAGGATGCCATAGCTTACAGATCGTTGAAACAACGAGCGACCCCTATTGATCCACTTTCCAAAAACACATCGTTTCCAATATGATTAAACAATGCTTCGCGAAGTATGGTCGAAATTTTTGGGAAGAATAATGATTTCTGAATAATATACGGATTGATTTTCATAACAGATAATATCTTCCCACTCTTCATATGTAAATATATGTACTTTGAATAATTATTAACAAACTTCAAAATACTTACAGAATTTTATAAATATCGTATCTTATGCATTCGGCTTTGGCCTTGTCAAGTATTTCATTTTGATAGGTTCGAAACCTATCAGTAAGATAGAAATAAGATGAATCTGTTAAAGTGGCCAACTATCTCTAATGTCTAAAAAGATAGCAACCATATATTTCGCCAAATTTCGTCAATTTTGGCATTGCGAAAATAATTTAGTCACTTATCTATAGAATACAGTCAGAATTCATCAGAATAGTGAGAGACTGGGTCAGAATTAACCAACTTTGCCAAAATCCAATACCACTAGGAGACACCCAATCAGAGAACGTAAATTTTAAGTATTTCGGATCAGCAAAATGCAAAAACGAATGCACAAGTAAAAAAAATAAAAATACTCAAAGTAATGTCTAAATCGATCTCGGGCACTAATTAAAAGTGACAAAAATCATTAAAAAAGATACTGCGAATTGTGACAAGAATTTATCATTCTTGAAAATCTTCAAGTAGCATAATTAGAGTAGGAAAGC